ATGTGACTGATGAATCCAAGAAACCAGGCAAGAGGAAAGAAAGAACGTCATCTGAAGTCGTTATTTTGTCAGGTAGTATGTACTGCTGCTGATTTCCTTGTTCTCAATCTCCCACTCTCATTCTTACTCTCTCTTTCAAACTCTCTTTAAATCATGTTACCTGTTTCATTCACTCTCTGTTTCACATTCTCTTTCACTCATGTTACCTGTTTCATGCCTATATACATATGCATAGATATATATATGTGTGTGTGTATATTATGTATGTATGTATATATATATAGATATATGTATTTCATTTTCTTTCTTTCTTTTTTTTTGATTCAAGGTGAATAATTTTTGGTTTGATATACCTCAGGAAGGAGACAGACAAAGAAAGTAGACTACAGACAGCTTTCCGAATATGGCTTAGATGATAAGGCACCTGAGGAGGATTCTGAGCAGGGTAAGTGATATATATGTGCACGTGCATAATCGGAAACAGACACACACAGAAAAGAATGTGCAGAATCACACATATAGAAAGACAGCTTATTGGGCACAAATACACACAAACACATGCACAGATACACACATGACCAGATTTCTTGAAGCACACATGTACACATATGCAAACACTCACACCACACACGCACACCCACACACCCACACCCACACCCACACCCACACCCACACCCACACCCACACCCACACCACACCCACACACTCACACTCACCATTCACACATCACACACTCACACCCACACACCACACCCACACCACACACCACACCCACACCCACACACACACCACACACCACACCCACACACTCACACCCACACACCCACACCCACACACCACACCCACCACACACACTCACACCCACACACACACTTCACACCCACACACTCACACCCGACACCCACACATCCACACACTCCACACCCACACACCACATCCACATCCACACACCACACATCAACACACTCACACTCATACCCACACAATCACACCTACACACCCGCAGTCACATCCACACAATCACAACCACCCACTCACCCACCCACACACACACACACACACACGCACACTCACACTCACACACACTCACACGTGCACACACACACACACACACACACACACACACACACACACACACACACACACACACACACACACACACACACACACACACACACACACACACACACACACACAACACACACACACACACAATAATATATATCACAACAATTATATCACAACAATTATATCACAATCCCAAACTTACATCCAACAATTTCCTCCTCTCTAGTGGAAAGCAGACAACAGGACTCTTTCCCTGTAAAGCGAGGGAGGGGACGACCTAGAAAGCACCCCCCTCTGGGTCCACGTCTCCCCTCTCTGACCAACTCTGGGTTTGAGGTCACGTCCTCGGTGATTTCGACAGAGCAAGGAACATGCGATGAAGCAGCTGATCCTGTTGGTTCTGTTGCTTCTCTTGGTGCCAATGGTTCTGTAGATTCTACACTTACCGACGAGACTAAGGATGATAAAGGAAATGTTGGGATGAATATGCAATGTGAGAAAGGTCTGAGTTTGTATTAGACTGTGCAAGGAGATATTTTTATCTCTTTTATAGAGTATTTAGATAAAATCAAATGAAATACAATAGGATTCAGCATAGAATTAAGCTCATTTTTTCCCCTATACTAATGGAGTCGCTTTAATCCCCTATACCACATAGATAATGCCTTAGACCTCCTTGAAAGCTGTCTAAAGGAGAGTGGGATAAAAGCAGGCGATGCAGAAAAACATGTTAGGAGACTTGTAGAACACGAGAAAAAGGAGAAGATGCTAAAAGCTTTAGGGTTCCTGAAAGTGGAGGCAGAGGAGGAAGAGGATGGGGAGGAAGTCAAGGAGAAGGAAAAAGTGTATGTGTGCGACTCACTGGAATCCATTAACAAAGTTCCACGGAAGGTATGTGGGTAGTATTTTGATGTTCTGATTGGTCTCCTGTTTGAGTTTGATAATTTGTAGAACATGTTTTTTAAGAATTATATTTTAGTGATGATAGGTATATCATGGTTACTGTTTATTTTCATTATTAAATTATGTGCTTATTTTTTTTTATAAACTTGAATATAACTTGGAACTGAAATGGTACTGATTGCATACTCATTATTGTATGATATCAGGGACTAAGCATTGATTGGATTTAACTGTAATCACATGTGTTTTATTTATTTATGTTTTATTTTTCAGAAAACCATAAAAGCACCACATAAATGCGAGATCTGTGGAAAGATGTACTCCACTTTGTCAATATTAAGTATGCATTGTATATTTTTACTCAATTCTTATAAAATATTACGGTAACTTGATTATCTCATATATTTATTTCTTATAACTTCTTTTACTTACAAATTAAAATACAGAGTTTTGTTTGAGTGGTTTTCCTCCTCCAAATTATATGTAACTGAATCAAGAGATGCCATTTTAGAAGATATAAAAGGGAATATGTATTTCTAATTTAATATGGCTTAAGAGACAACAATTATTCTCAAAAACTCAGCATGGTGTTTTTGATTACAATAATGGTAAGATTATGATTTATATGTGCAAAACATGATTATTTATACACACAAAACTGGTTTATGTGTATAAGATGTAATAATATTGATACACATAACATAGCAGTTCTTTAGATGTGTGTGTGTGGCATTATTCAATGTTAATTCCAACTGTTTTGGAGCTGAAGGATCTGTTTTGCCATAGATAAACATGAATAATAAGCTGTAGTTCCATAATGGACTAAAGGGAAAGCTTGAAGTATTATTGACTTTAACATTCAAATTTTGCCCTTTTCAGAAGCACACCAAGTCCGCCATAGGAAAAAAGAGGATCTGCCGTTTGCTTGTGAGAGTTGCGACTTCCGTGCTGCATCGAAAATCGAGCTTTTTAGACATGCATACAAACACACCAGCAAACAGATGTACATTTGTGAAATTTGTGGTAGCACTTTCTCTAGGGACACCTGCCTGCGCGAGCATATCGAGTATGTGCATGTAAAGGCTAACAAGTTAAAATGTGCACAGGTGAGTATGTTGTACATTCACAAAACTGTTTTCAAAGTAGAACATAAAGTTGGACCATCGAATGTTATAGTATTTCAAGTGTTCTAGGTGTTTGATGATTGTATTCAGTACTCGGTAACTTCAAGTTGATACCCAAATGATTAAAGATGATATAGAATAAAATGATATAGATTGCATATAAAAATTATTTATAGAAGTGCTTGTGGAAAACCAAAGAAGTGAATTGTTATTGTTATTATTATTATCATTCTCATCGTCATTATTATTATTGTTATTATTATTATCATTCTCATCATCATTATTATTATTTATTATTATTATTATTAATTATTATTATTATTATTATTATTATTATTATTATTATTATTATTATTATTATTATTATTATTATTATTATTTTATTATTTATTATTATTAATTGTTATTGTTATTTATTATTATTTTATTATTATTAATTTATTATTATTATATTATTATTATTATTATTGTTATTAATATATTATTTATTATTTTTTTTTATTATATTATTATTATTATTATTATTATTATTATATTATTATTATTATTATTAATTAATTATTATTATTTATTGTTATTATTATTATTATTATTATTATTATTATTATTATTATTATTATTATTATTATTATTATTATTATTATTATTATTATTATTATTATTATTATTATTATTATTATTAATTATATATTATTATATTATATATTATTATTATTATTATTATTATTATTATTATTATTATTATTATTATTATTATTATTATTATTATTTCTCAGTGTGATTTTGTGACCTGCCGACGTGCTTCAATGCGCAACCACATACTCACCCACCAAGGAACGCGACCTGTGATTGCCTGCCCTGTGTGTGGAGTGACATTCAAGTTGAAGTCTAACTTAAAGTCACATCTCCTTTCGCATACAAGTGAGTTAATGAGTTTGTCTGTGCTGCTAGAGCGATTTAAGTTCGACATTTTATCCGTTGATTTCAGGACGTGCACCGTCTATGCTGGTTTTGTTTTATTAGTTTTATTTATGCATTGATAGCTTCAAAGAACATAGTTACCATGGAGTCATTGCGTCAGTGGCTAGGTCTACTTGATCTCACCCTTTTTCCCCATTCCTTGAATTTATTTGACTTTATGTTTTAAGAATGAGTTTTTTTTTTTTTTTTTTTTTCTAATACTATGAATTGTTGTTATTATATATTTTCTTCTTCCGTCTGATTTCTGGGTTTTTCCTTTAATTAAAGATCTTATTTTATTTTTCTCTAGGAGCCAAGCCATTTACATGTGAGGAGTGTGGCAAGAAATTTATCATGCGGAATCGGCTAATGGCGCACAAACTCCAAGTCCACGGACCGCGGCAATATGCTTGTCCCCACTGCACAAAGGTAAGAGGGTAGAGGAGTTGGGGTATGCTTTTGCAATCTCTGTTTTCTTCTTCACTTTCTTCATTTATCTTTTTTCTTTTTTTCTTCTTTTTTTAAATATTTTCTCTCACCCTTTCTCTTTTCATTTATATTTTTTATTTTAATTTTTTTGATTGCAATGTATGTTTTTACAAACTTTCTTCTTTTTCAAGTAGGTAGTTAGGGATCTCAGGACACCATTGTCATCATCTTCATCATCATAATAATCATCACAGCCATTATCATTGCTATTATCATCACTTCCACCATCAAGAATTAATCACTTTGGAACAGATAACATATTTGCCATTTATTATATGCATTTTATTCAAGTTTCTCATAAGATCCTTATTATTTCTTTTTTGATTTCACAGAGATTTCCAACAGTACATCACCTTCAGAGACACGTCAGAATTCACACTGGAGAAAAACCATATACGTGCTGTTATTGTGCCTTTTCCTGTAACACACAAGGGAACCTTATCAAGCACATTAGACATGTACACGACAAAATCAACTTCACCTATAAGGAGTAAGTGATGTACTTTACAAAATGAAAATATTTGAGGTTATATATGGCAAGGAATATTTTGCATAAGATGAAAAAATTTATTGTATATGGCAAGGAATACATTATAGAAGATAAGGATAATTACTAATTATATAAGATGAAAGAGGATGTTTGTAGGAGGGTATACATTAGATAAGATGGAAATATTTAATAATGTATGTGGAAAGTTATATTTTGTATAAGATGAAAACATTTGTTGTATGGGCTCTGGAAATGTGACAGAAGTTACATTTACATAAATTCAGGAATCAGATAATGAAAATAAGCTTTAGATATTTTGAAAAATATTTGATATAGAATATTTATAATGTTAATTTTCTTGTTTGACATTTTTATTGTTTGTAGAAAGAAGAGTCTTATGCATAATTTTTAAAAATATATCCTGACATTTTCTGAATAATTTCACAATGCATATTTCTGATTCATAACTTCCTGAATAATTTCTTTATGCTTATATTCATATTCATAGCTTTTTCTGAGTAATTTGTCAGTGCATAGTTCTCATTCGTAACATTATCAACTTTGCACAATGAACTCTCTTTATTCTTTGCCTCATTCTTTGCCCCATAGCTTCTTACGAGAGAGCGGCAAAGAAAAGGAGGAGCAGAAAGTGGATGATGTAGAATACGAGAAAATCACCAAAGTAGGCGAGGAGCTGGCGCAGAGGCTGTTGCCGACCCTAGAGGAATGGACAGGGCAAGAGTTGACAGTGGATCAGTTGAAGGAACAACTGCAGAAGGAGAAGAATTCCAAGGTTTGTTGAGGCTGTGGCATTTGTGAGGTGTCTTGAACTTATTTTGTGTTTTTAGGAATCTTTTCTTGATTTGGATACACACACATGCACTTATGGAAGTATTTGTCTATGCACACACACACGCACACGCACACGCACACACACACACACACACACACACACACACACACACACACACACACACACACACACACACACACACACACACACACACACACACATACACACACACACACACACACACACACACACACACACACATACACCACACACAGACACAACACACAGACACACACACAGACACACACAACACACACACACACACACACACACACACACACACACACACACACACACACACACACACACACACACACACACACACACACACACACACACACACACACACACACACATACGCATACACACACTAAAATGAATGAAGAAAATAAATAAGGACACTATATGACAACTGTCTTCCAGGTGGCAGCGTTGCAAGAGCAGCAGGCAAGGCGGAAGAGGCGAGCCCTTAGGAAGGCCGGCACTGGCACCAGCACCAGCAGTGCCTCCTCCAAGACGTCCTCTTATTTCGCAGATGCACAGGGCAAGATCACCCTGTACAGCGTGCCAAACTTAGAGGAGAATTCCCCCATGGAAGATCCCATAGATGACCCTATGGTGGTGGAGAATGGCTTGGGAGGATTCGGGGACAACCAGTGCTGGCTGACACACACGGATGAGAATGGATGTGTGATGCTGATTCCATGGGATGCTTCCCTGCTGGGGGACAGTGAGGAGGGTGAGGAGGAGGGTGAGTGGACGCGGGACTTGCAGGCTGATAAGATCATCAAGAATTCCACAAATGGAACGGGAACCAACATCCTTACTGTAAAGGTCCCTGTTGAGGAGATGAAAATCTCAAATATCCCAGAGTCTAAAGGAGGGGCAGAGGTTGAGCTCCCTCTGGGAGCCGGGAAGAGTGGTGATAAATGCATGAATGATATCCAAAGCTCAAATGACATTGTGCAAGTGAGAGATTTAAGTGAAATGGTTGGCAGACTAGATGCCTTGGATGTGAAAATCACCATAGGATCTACTGTGAACAGTAACATCTCATCACAAAAGAAGGTTGGAGGAAAGCCGTTGCCTGAATCCATCCAGGTCATCGCCTCCAATGAGCCCGTGGATGACACAGTGCCAAATGCCTCAAATTTTGTGCTTCCAGAAGGATATATTGTTGACGATGATGGTCAGGTTATCCAGTTCACAGACAATGTTCTAGACCCGAACCTTCTCCTCCGGCCTGTTGGGCAGGTCATAGGAGGGTCACATGAGCCCGAGGTCACCATCAATAAGATCTCCAGTAATGTGTACTCCCTCATGAGCCAGGGGAGCAACGGTGAAGAGGGAGAAACCTTTGTGATCACAACTCAAGAAGGCGAAGAAGATGATGAAGAGGAAGATGAAGAAGAGGAAGAATGTGAAGCCAGAGAACCAGACCTAAAAGTTAAGTGCCTTGGCCAGGTCACGAAACACCTGGACAGTCCCGTTGGCAAGGTCGACCTCCTCCCAGCTGAGGATGAGGACGAGGAGAGGCAGTCGGCTCTGGTGCTCATTGTCAATGCAGAAGATTTAGAGAACACAGGATGAGTTTGAAGCCATGATTCTTTAGG